TTAAAAAGGGAAACAGACAGAAAAAAACAAACAAACAAAAATAGAGGGAAAGTTAAAAAGTAAGTAGGACATCCCAGTGGTGCCCTTCAACCACCCCCTACTTTGTATCTTGACAGTAGTAGTAAGTAGATCTAGTGTTAGCAACGTAAATCACAATCACACAAACATAATGTGTATACATAATGTACAAATTGTGCTGATCAGTATTCTGCATAAGAAATGCCTGACTTTTCTTTTATGAAAGATTCTCCATATTGATGGCACACTCTATCTGACAACACTAGCAAACTTAAAACCTGTCTACCTCCATACACGTATATATGTTAAGTGTGCTGACAAAATGAGTTACTTATCAGATTCCAGCCCTCTATGGAAATAGGATAGATCAAGTTTTAAAGAATATGGCATCAATGGAAAATCTACAAATTTGACTCTTGCGTCGATTTTTGATAAATATCTCCATTTGTGGATAGTGAGAAGTAAGTCATTATGTCAGCACGCCTCACATATTTATTTTTGTCTTTCTGTACACGCAGATCTGTTTCTTTCCCTTGAAGATACAGTCGAAATTGTCTAAGTCGACCACTACCACCCATTGTTGAGGAGAAAAATGACCGTCTTAGTCTTAGACAGATGGACATTTCACACAGTGTAATTATAATTTTTTTTAATGCACAAGGGAGGAAATAAGAAGTGGCTGTTTGTACAAGTGATTGTCTTATACAGGTGATCTTTAGAGCAGGTTCGACTGTATTATAGTCTAAAGTCTCGTTCTGAAATTTAGAGTACAGTATTTCTTTACAACAATTTGCCAAGTACTCTGGTCCATAGCTGTTTTGTTGTTGTTTTTCGTTTGTTTGTTTGTTTGTTTGTAAGTGTTTTACACCTCGTCGACACAATTTAGATCATAAGAGAGGTGGGCTTCGACTCTGTCTATCAAGGCCAACCTGGACTGAAAAGGATATAACTTCCAAGAAGAAAGACTGACACTGACATACCTGCACAGTGGCGACCAGCAATGGCATGTTTGTGAAATTCTTCTCTATTGATGTGATATTGTGTATTTATGTATGAATATGTGCATGTATTTATATATGTATTTATAATTATGTATTTATGTGTGTATGTTTGCCATCGTAAACCAAATTGCCCTTCTGGGATCAATAAAAATGTAATTTATCTATTTTTTTAATACTTGATAAAAATTCTTCCAACACAGCAATCGAACTCAGGTCTTTCATATGCAACAACAAAGTGTCTAACCACTTTACCACAGACGGTGGTACCTCAGCTGTGGTTTCCTGTTCTTCGCCAGTGATGAAAAGAGGAGGCTCATGTCACATAAAAACCCAAACACAGATAATGCTCATTTCATTCAAATTTATCAATCATTTTATAAAGACAGATGTTACAATCTCCACAGCTCTACAAGTCTCTTGCAAACACACATCATACTGTCACAAATGCTGTAAAATCATATATTGAAAAATCATATATAGACTATATCAAAAGAAAGAGCCACAGAAAAAGAAAAAAATACATTTTTGCACATTTTGTTAATCAGGGTCTGCTCTCTATAAACACTTTCTCCAGAACCAAAGCACACTATTAAAAGAAGGTGAGAAATGAAACCATACAGTACAACATTCTCAAAACCAAAATACATACACACGTTGCATGATGTAGACAATTGAAATCATGTCTGAAGGACACTTCTTAAATGAAAAAGACTGTGCTGACATGCATTCACTTGAAGTAGAAGAATCACTGGGATAATAAACTAGCCACACAGCATAAAAGATTCGAATTTGTTCTTTGGGGAAAGAGAGGAGGGTGGGATGGAATCTCATGGCATATGGCACCAAATTCAGTCAGAACCCCTTTTAATCTCCATAGACCAAAAGGAACATAGACTAAGATAAAAATCCTTTGATCACCATATTAACAGGAAAAGTTTCTAGACTACAGAGTAAAGTTTAAGTTTTTCCAATCTGAACTTCAAGAACCAGTTTGCTTTGTTTGAGTTACATTAAAGCACAATAATTATAATAGTTAGTAGTACAGGTGGAGGGAAAAAGCAAGAGAAGTGAGAGAAATAATTATAGGTCTCTGATTCCTGAGGTACTGGGTAGAAGGTAGCTATGAACCTCCCTAAAATACGAACGTGAAAACCCCCCCCCCAAAAAAAAACTCACCACCCTTCACGGTAAGAACCAAAAGGCTTGAGCGAGAAAGAATGAGAAGGAAATCAGAGACAGAAAAACAAAATCTCTGAAAATGAAAAGGAAACAGTTCTACTTTGTTGCTCAGAATGAGCACTTGAGACATACTCATTTCTCCATCAACGTTCTATCCCAAATATCGGTTCAAGGCTAGAGATGAACAAAATGGAGTAGGAAAAAAGTGCAGTAATTTTAAAATGTTAAAACACAAAATATATGACTTGAAGTAGAGACTGTGGAAAAAGCCCTCTGCAGTCAGTGGCACAAGACTTTAAGACTACATTACTCTGGAGAGATGTGAAGTTTTGAATCATTTTGGTCAAAATCATAGAATAGGTTAAATGCCCCTTTCAATACTGTAAAACTGTAAGGTTATTTAAGAGGCGGAACCTCCAAATTTGAACGTCCACCTGCAACAGGACCGAGCCAAATAGGTGGACAGCATTAAAAACTGTAGAAAATTAATCACGTTTAGAATGCCCCTTTGGCCATCCATTCTGTAGTTCAACATGATACCAACTGGGGTAAGTGTATGCTCCTGGTCAAAATCAGACTGCATACCATTCACTTTGAGTTAGAGGATGACATCCACACACAAATAAACTGAAAATTTGTAGTAGAAATCTAGTTTGTTTTATATGGTTTATTTTGCTGCTTTTTTGTGTGTGTCTGTGTTATTTTAGTTGAAGGAAAAAAAAGGGGGGGGGGGTGGTAAGGGTATCTTATAGCTTTTCATATATATACACTTTTCCATTGGTTAATGTTCAACTGCACCACTAGTGTATGAATTTTGCTCCGGGACAATAACATATAATATAAACTTGTGACAGTAAAGTATAAAAACAGCATGTACTGCAAAATGAAAAGAGAGCTAAATCAAATGTCAAAGCATCAATCCTTTACACTTTTACACTGACTCAAAATCACAAATTTTTTTTTATAAGGTCATTACCATTTTCATATTCAAGCAACAAACAGAGTCAAACATTCACACAGACAACATTAGATTTTTTTTAAACGAAAAAATTGCACACCATATCAGGCAGTCACAGGTCAACAAATGAGTTGCATATCACTGTTAAGTCATGTAGTCTTAGGGCACTTCTAAATCCATCACACACTTTTTCACTCTTCTTGATTTTACATATCATGATGAATAATATATTAGTAACAATGAAGGAATTTTGTTAAAGAGGATATGTTCTAAATTGCCATACAATCACAGCAATAGATATAATCATCTTTTTTTCCAAGAAGGTCAATTTCGAAATTAATGACCACTGTACTGAATATTATAGGAGTTATCAAATTAGATCATGAATAAGAAAACAAGAAACCCACTGCTGCTGCTTTCCATCCACACAATCTCAGTCTCAAAATAATTTCAAACTAAAAATAGCACATTCTAAACCAAACATAAGCTCCAACTCTTTGCTAAGCTTATCACCCAGTTGTCATAACAAAATCTTAATAAGAACAAACACACTGTCCCTGATGTAAATTGCTACCTACAATGAACCCGTTATACCCTGTGAAAAAAAATCTGATACAATCCACTATCTACGAAATGGGTGAAGTGAAATTACACAGAAACCAGAACAAAACAGACAGTGAATAGCACAGGTCTATCTCTGCATAACAACACCTCTATCATCAACAAGCTGTTCCATGGCTCAAACAGCCAGAGAAAACAGAGATAATATTGGGGGGGAAAAATACTGAAACAACAGTAGGACTTTCAAACTTTCATCAGGATGATCAAGCACCCTGAGAAGCGGAGAGATCACATGGAATGTTGGGATTACACAAAGTCCTTGTCATGATGGTCATAAACACATTTGTGAATGTGAGGTGTGCAGACAAAATGAGTGAATTCTCGGATTTTAGTCCTCTCGATACAGATAGAAACATCAAATTTATAGCTTGGGTTTGTACAGTGGAGTCCACTTATAACGAGTCCTGAAACAACGAAAAAGTCTGTTATAAAGACACTATTCTAAAACCCTGTTTTTTTCCCTTCTTTATCTTTGTAAATAAAATACTGCTATTGCGCAATCAAACAGTCACACGAGTTGGTTATAATGGAATACTGCTGCTGCTGTGCACAGCACACAGACCAATTAAACATATTATATAAAACCTCGCCAGTTGAGAAAGTTGTGGGTGATCCAGCGAAACAAAGATTGAGAGCCCACGCGAACCAACAATGAAGGCCGGGACGAATGAGTGGGGAGGTGTGGCTTGCTCAGACAAGCAGAACACATTGTGTGAAAGGCCAGCCCAGTTTAGATTATCTAGGCATACCGTGCCTCTCACTTCTCTGGTGCGGGATGGAGAGGTCACAATGCTCAGATAGATGGAGCGAATGTGTGACGTGCGTAAGCAGATGGAAAGCGCCACAGGGTGTGGTGGGGTGGGGGACAACACAGCGGGCGAGTTAGCCTAGAGCCAGAGCCCCTTCTTTCTGATCGCCAACGTCTATTGGTCAACATTGCTAGTGCTAGAGAAAGAAACCTGATTTGATTTTTTATCGAGTAAAACCTACAGATCATGTTGAACAAAATCATCATCAGGGGAAATACTAAAAAGAATAAACAGAACACCAAACTCAAAGACTAGGCCTACTTTATTATTTCCTTTGAATTTATTACTCGATCCCTTATTACGAGAATCCTGCTATAACGGACATTTTGCACTGGTCCCCTCTCTCTCGTTATAACAGGATTCCACTGTACAATTTATCATCTGAAATAATCAAAAGACATGTAAAACGTGAAAAAAACTGCATCAGTTGAAAATTTATTAATTTTGATGTGCTGATTTTTTACAGACATCTCCATTCGCGAAATGCGAGATGTAACTCATCTCGTCAGAATGTCTCACATTTGTGTAAGAAGCACATCACACATAGATAATGGCAGTTGCAACATTCTGCACTCTACTACACTCCACTAGTCAGATAAGGACACAATCTCTTTTCTGTTTCAGCTGGCCCAAGTTCTCAGCAGATACGCACATAACTCATCTTTTTGTCGATCTTTTCAAAAAGTCTGTATCAATTTACAAAATTGAGACACATAAGACAACCTAAGGCGATTATTCATTCTGTTGAATGATTCTGTCTTGGTATAAAACAGGTCTTAGTAGAAAATAAGTCTCAGTAGAAAATATAGGTGTTCAGAACCACAACAATTGCACTTTTGAGTCTCAAGATCCTCCTTTGCCTGCCTACCTCTCTCAAAAAATTCTTATCTTATAAATTCTAAAAATAAAATAACTAAGGGGTACATAAAAAAAAGGTACACAATCTTGAAAAAAATGAAAGTCTTAGGCACAGAGTGTGTGATCAGGACTTGCATGCTGGTTTTTGGCCTTTAAGAATGTCATGGATGTCATCCAGAGATTTCTCACAGTTAGCCACGAAGTCTGAGGCACTGCATGCTGGGTAGCTGGTTATGTTGAAGCCGATCGCGTTGTTTTCAATGCCATAACCTTGAGAGGATGAAATAAAACCAAAACTTTATTAGCATAACTTTGAGAAGTTGAAAGAAAGAAAAACTTCAATGGCATAACTTAGAGATAATGAAACAAATCAAAAACATAAATCACATTAACTTGAAAAGAAAAAAAAGAAGAAAAAAGATTAATGATAAACCAAAAACATATATCACATAAACTTGAAGACAACACAGGAAGAAACAAGATTAAAAAGATTAAAACAAATCAAAAACATATCAGATACACTTGAAAATAAGAAAGGAAGAAATAAGATTAATAGAAAAGGAAGAAAAAGATTAATAGTACAACCTTTGGAAGATAAAATAAGGCAAAAAACAATGGTTTTTATAAAAGAATCAGAAATTAGATACCCTACTCTACACTGGTACAGGTAGGCACCAGCACCATATTCCAGATACCAACAGAAAAAGTAATGTATCTACCAAGCTCACCATAGCAATCTCATTCCATAATGATCAAAACACTAGGACTGAAAAACTAAACTTAAAATGAACTGGCCAGCCAACTATAGTTCTTGTGAAGCACTTCTAACACAAAATCGACAAATTGTTTTCGTACATGTTATAGATATCTGAAACAGATAAAACAGACATGTGAAGCACTTCAAACACAAAATCGACAAATTGTTTTCAAACACATTAAAAACAGACATCTAAAACCAATAAAACAAACACTAGTGTCACTCCTCACCAACACCAAAGCCATCGGGTGTGACAGCGGCGAAGCCTCCGATCAAAACAGCCGGGTCCGAGAGTGTTGAGGTAGACAGGATGATGTGGTTCAGGTTGGCGTATGCTGGGTGTGTGAACATGGGCAGAGACAGGCCTCGGCTCTCTGCCATGTGCTTCAGGAAGTACAGGTGACGGTCGAAACCCTGGCCTGTGGATGTTAAAAATAGAAGGGATGCCTACTACTCGGATATTGTGAAAACAACTGAAAATTTTACGAAGGTGCTTTTGCTCGTTGTTTGTTTTAATAAGGTTTTACGGCGCTCACAACTGCATTAGGTCATATGAGCACCAAAGGGTGGATGTCAACAGAGAAGTCCAAATGGGGATTCAGGCTTATTCTGCTCACCTCTCTAGCCTCAACAGCACAAAGTCCGCTTCAACTATCAAGGCAGCCCGGAAATAGCAGTTCACAAGAGAGTGACAAATATACAAAAGAAGTAGAGGAAAAATGATGATAGTAAGGATGAGGAAAGAAAAAGCAGCAGTTCCCCCATGTTGTTTCGGCACAATATGAGCTTGACATTGATAAATCAGCCCATTTACAATTCTACTGTGCATAAGAATATATTTAATGTCCCCCCTTTGGGAATGGCCTAAAAACAACTTCAGTCAGTAGCACTGCCTTGGTTGGGGGAGGGGGGGAATGCTATTTTTGCAATTGACACGACTAATAATATGATATAAAGAAAATAAATGCTGAGCATAACAGTTCTTGAATGCACACAACTAACATCTAACATGGGGTTACAGAAAAAAATAAATGACAAGTAAGTAAATCTGTGAAAACTCTTTCTCACCCATGGCAGCTTCTTTCGTGAGTTGTCCGTGCACCTTTGAGCAATCGCGCAGTCCCTCCATCAGCTCATCTGCACTGCCCTGGGGGCCGGAGCTCCCGTACAGACGCTCACACATAGCTTTGGTGGCTGACGTGCATGAGCGTACAGTTTCTGTGCGGCCATGTTTGAAAGCCGATGTACTGCACGACTCGTACGTTCCAACATTCTTCCCGTACATGCGATAATGGGCCAGCTGAAATGGAAAACTCAAATAATTATACCCAGCCATTGTTTGTATCGATCAAAAAGGAGAAAAAAATAATAATATTGACATGATACTTGCAGCTTGGCAGCACCAAAATAAGGAATATTCATAATGAAGTTACAATATATCAAAACTTTACAACAAAAGTCAATAGCATGAGTATTACTTTCTCAACTTACTCTCAGTTAAAGTAATCTGTTTTCAGAAATTGCCGAAAATTAATATGTCATTGTCATCATAAAGGAATGTGACTGAGCCACTGCTAGCAGCTCACCGGCACAGCGGTTCAGACTGCAAGCCGCTGGGAGCAGTTTCCTGGATATATGGAGTTATTCCAATAAAAACTTTTTCAACAGAGTGCACAATTTAGCCCATAGGCCCAATGAAAAGGATAGACGTAAAAATATAGATTTTTTTTACTTAACCACGAAAGGAGTGGAAAAAATGCAACTTAGATTACACAAAGAAGAATTTAACTAGTCAAAAGAAATGAAAAATCTGAATGAACAAAACTTGAGGAATACAAGCAAGTTTTTAGAGAATAACCATTGGAAGAAAGACAGGAGACTGAAATCAAATAGATGTTTGATAGGAAAGAAGGAGTAAACCACACCAGAGCACCCACCAACCACCCGCAAAACTTCACAGCCCCAGACACCACATCATCAAACCTGTCTTGTAACCTATATCTTCTTCAGATGTCAGGATTGGAGCAGACATAGCTGATCATGATACCCCATTCCTTCCTGTTGTCAGTTCTGATCAGCAGAGGTTTTCTGCTAGCCTCTAGATGTTATTCCATGTCTTCCCACCTTTCTGTACATCAATTTCTGTGATTTTTCTCCAGACTCTACGTGGTTTTTCACTTGATCTTTTACCCTGTGGATTCTAATCCAACACTTTCTTTGTTATGCAGCTGCCTGACTTCCTGAGAGTATGTCCAATCCATCGCCACCACCTTCTGCCCACCTCAGCCATTTGGAGCGCTTTTGTGTTATTTTCCTCTCTGTCCATAAGAATCTGAGCATTCTCCTAAGATGCCACATTTTGGTGGCTTCCAGCTGTAACCTACATCCCCTGTCTAAAAAAAACTCATCTCATCCAAAACCGAATTTTGTTCCAAATCCCTGGGTTGTTTTTTTTTTAATAACACATATTTGATTATTCATTTGATGTACCTGAACGGTCAACTGCATGATGGAATCAGGACTGAGTTTGGCCTTTTTCACATGAGTCTTGGTCATCTTGTGGTACTGTATATGAGACACGTCCAGAGAATTTGTCACATCATCAAACCGAGACTTTGCCTTGGCAACTGCTTCCTTCACAGAGGGATCAAGAGTAAAGTCTGGAGAAAGCAAAGTATATGAAAAGTTATCAGTATGTTGACAGATTAGTTTAGTATCAAAATAGTTCACAATCTTCTTTTTCGTTTTCCCTACTACAACTCAGGGACAGTCAACCTGCAATGAAACTGATTTTTACAAGTGTGATCATTTTTCCTGTCAGTCACAATGAGACTTAAATTACTTCAAAATAGCATCAACATTTCTCTTTCTCAGAATATTCCCCCGTTTACATAGGTAGTAGCTGAAAAATGTTCCTTTGAAGGGCATAAGTTTCCCCCCTGCTCAAAGTGGTAACAATAAAATGAGGCAATTTCGAGTAGGACCCACCAACCACAGGCAGTTTTGGAGCAAGACACAGGCCAATCAGAGTCAGCACAACACATATCTCTTGGCAATGACGATGACAATCTTTATTCATCTCACTGGAAGAAATTTGTCTTGGTCATTTACAAGGGCAAAGGAATGTTACAAAGACTACGTCCACTCATGCATACACACAAGACAGAACCTTAGTAAATACATGTTTTAAATGCTTACACAGTCAAAAACGAGCAGACTTTTTAATTTCTTTGACACATCAATGTTCTGTTTATCACACTTTTGACTATGCTTTACCCGCTATTTAAAATGATCCGTCCTCTGGTGCACTGAAGCAGTGAAGGCAGACAAAACCATTCCTGCTTTAACTCCAAGGAAGGGGGCGGGTGGTAAACCCACTATGCCAGGACCATTTTTTAGTACAAAAACTAAAAGTGACATATATGTCACTAAACTGGTCATTACATCAAAACAAGTGAACCTATTTTGATATTTCTTCATCTAATGAAGGAACTCCCTATAAAAGTGACCCGTTTTCGGCAATTACGTTACCGAAAAGGAATAGGACGTCAAAGTCGTCGAAAAGGAGTGTGCTTGAGCCACTACCAGAGCTTCACCGGCACAGTGGTTCTGACTGCAAGCCGCTGAGAGCAGTTTGCAGAAGAAAAGGAGTTAGATTTTTGTTTAGTTTTAGTAGAGGTTTTGTGGCACTCGCAACTGCATAAGGTCATATAAGTGCCAGAAGATTAGAGGTGTTACAAGAGAGTAACGAACATAAAGAAGAAGAAGGGGAGATAAGGACCATAGATGTTAGATAGGAAAGAAGAAGGAGTTAAGTAAATAATTTACACACCCCGTATCTAGAAGAATGTATTTTTCATTTATTCTTTTTTAGATGTGGGTTGTTTTACCCACCATGGCCCCACTGAGACAATTAAGATCATTTAGGAGGCGGGCTTTAACCCTGCCTGTCAGGGCCAACTTGGGCTGAGACCAGCAGAAAAATAGAGATACTCAATAAAAATTCTCCCTACTTAGGAATCAAACTCAAGTCTCCCGAGTGCAATAGCAAAGCACCTACCTGCAGCACCACAGATGCCAGTCATCTTGAATAACAGACAAACATTGGGTGTCAGAGGACAATTGTTAGATAATGTCAGAGCTCTATATACCAACAGCAGAAGCTTACTAAGAACAAAGTTTAACTGACGAACACCCAGTAAGACAGGACACACAACCTGAAAGTAAAGACACAAACAGAATAACAAAGAACTCACTGAGCCTCACTACTTTTTCGTCAGAGCTGGCATTTGGAGAAGGTTTGGTGTCAGGATGGACACGAGATTTCTGAAGGGCGTCCGAGTAGACCTCTCTGAAATACCTCAGGACGGCCACACCGTCACCCCAAGCATGCTCAAAGTGGACAGCTGCAGTTCCCTCTTTTGTGATAATCAGCTGAAAACTTTTATCAAACCATCTGCAATTTAAAAAAAAAAAAGAAATGGGAGAGTTACTACGCAATCAAACTAGAAATCTAGAGTAGACCTGTAAATATCTAAATCTAGTTCAAAACATATTTCAACTGTAAGGAAGTAGTAATATCAAATAATCAACTGTCATTTTCATTGGAAACTGCCATTAGGCATACATAAATATTTTTATTAAACTTATTTAGTTAGATCAGATAAGATATACTTTATAATTTTGGAAAAACTGACCATATATAAATCAAAAACAATGATATGGCCAATCTCTAAACACCATCAAGAAAGACAAATTCTCTGTTGAAAGAAATTAACAAAAGAAGAACTGGTGACCAAAAATAAGAAAAACATTTTTTAAATTGACAAATACGATCAAAGCTAATTAAAGAAGAAGTGAAACCTCTCTAATAATATAACTGCCTCCAACGCACAGAGAAAGTGTGTGGACCCCCCCCCCCCAAAAAAACCCCCAACTACCTCTTAATAACAGACAACAAACAAAAGCATACCGATTTGATCCATTTCCATAGAGGAAACTGCGGGTCATAGCATCCGGATCGCCAGGTTGGTCATCATCAAGGCAGAGAACAAACATAGCGCCATCGACAAGGCGCAGTCGTTCTTCGTTTTGGGGATCTGGATGTTGCAGAAAAAGCAAAATACATTTCAGGGTTCACCCAGTTTACTCAGATTTTCATTTGCCACTAAAGTTTCGCAGAACAGAACGTAGTTTGAGAGACACACTGCTCCAGCAACAGAGGTGTAGCCTACGGCAGGACATGTCTATTCTAATGATTAATAACAAAATGTACTGATAATATTTGACATAGCTAGAATAAACATGTAACTCATTTCTTTCTACTATTTTGTAAGAGTTTTACGCCACTTGCAACACAATAAGGACATACAAGTGCCAAAGATTAGAGGTGTTACCATAGAGTAACAAGCAAAAAAGAAGGTGGGGAGATACGGACAATAGATGTTTGACAGGAAAGAAGAAGCAAACCACACCAGAGCACCCGCCAACCACCCACTAGCTCATTTCTGCAAGGGTAACTTTTATAAGGCAAGACACAGCTTATGTGCAAAGCTGAAATAAGAGGATTTGCGGGCACTACAAGGAGAAGGAAAAATATAGAATGATCCAATTACATCCCAGTGGTCGATAGGTCTGCACATTCTAAGAAGATGCACCAACAATTAAGAAGTGACTATGAGCAAAATATTTGAAGTGTTTCTGTCACACATAGGTTTGTATCGTAATATCTTACATCGCGCACTCTGACGTAACGTAACTTCAGCTTACTAAGGAGTGCACCATTTGAACCCATGTTAAGCCAAATTAAGGATAAAGGGGTAAAGTCGCTCCAAGCATTCAGCTACAGTGAGAATGGTGTTTTTGCCTTTCATCTGGGTGCCCAAGGCGCGCATGCTTTGGAGCAAAGCTACGCTTTCAAAGACATTTGGGCATCTCCTACAGTGATCATATTACAAATGAGGAAGTGAGGAACAAAATCAGGCATGCTTTTGGGCCCGATGAAGATCTTTTCACCATTGTGAAAAAATGCAAACTAAGATGGTATGGGTACATAACAAGATCAACAAGACTTGCAAAGATGATTCTACAGGACACTGTATGAGGAGGGAGAAGGACAGGCAGACAGAAAAAGAGACAGGAAGACAACATAACCAAATGGACAGGCTTAAAGTTGGGTGAAACCCTTCAAAAGGCTGAAAAATAGAGAAAGATAGAGTAAGAGAAAAGTGCTTGTCCGATCATCCTTGGTGCCCAAACGGTCATCTAGACTGAGGGTAAGTAAAAGAGCAGTGGCCACGGCCATGCACGGTGTACGTTATTATGATTCACATCTATTCTGTCACATCATTCAAGAGAAATACTGAAAGAGTTGTAAATTTACCGGCTTTGATCAGCTGAATTCGGGCTTGTGTCCACGGATCTCTGTACTCAGATGTCAGTGTAGAGATAGGGAACTCAGCGGCAGGTGTGTTGTCATTCAGGATGTAGCTCAGGTGAGCAAGGACATCTGTCTCAGGTATGATGTTACCTAAGGATTGTTCATAGGATTGGACAATGTAGAGACCATATCATACAACTAATCATACACTAGTACATGCTTGAAACTAAATAAGATAATATAAAATAAGATAAGAAAAGATCAGAAAAGATAAGATAAGATAAGACAGATAATACTTTATTGTCCCAGGGGGGAATTTTCCTTGGCTGTACAGGACCGTAAAAACACAATCAAGTATAACATAATAATTTAAATTATATATTACTCTCATTAAAATTCAATAAAAAAAGAAAAATAAAGCTGACAATAATGTACATATCACATTAGATGCATCATTCAACCACAAGCAGGGATTATCACAAGACCTTTGGAATTATATAGATATATGTGTCTGTAAAAGGAGACTACTGGCTCAGTGTTCTTTACCTAGGCTATGCAATATCATACAGTCACAAGAAATAACGACAGCTGAAACGGTCTAAGGCGGCCACCATTGTTGGAGAGAAAAGTGGCCATCTTAAACAGACGGACAGCTTACAGTGTCATTTTTTAAGATTTTGTGAGAGTTTTATGGCACTTGCAACACAATAAGGTCATATACGTGTCGAAGATTAGGGGTGTTACAAGAGACAGAGTAACAAACATAAAAAAAAAGGAGGGGAGATAAGGACAACAGATGTTTCATCGGAAAGAAGGAGCAAACCACACCAGAGCACCCACCAACCACCCACTCAGTGTCATTATAATGTAAACAAAATTTAAAGGGAGAAACGGTAAGTGGAAATTTGTACAGGTGGTCATTTTATACTGATGGCCTTCAGGGCAGATTTGACTGTATTTGAATATAAGCACTACAAGCAATACTTACGGCATCAATTTTGCCTTCTGAAGCACCCTTATATTTTATTCATCAAAGCTATTTTCACAACACAGAGAGAAAGAATCCACAAAATTAATATAAAAAGCAAATGTGGCTAATTGATATTCTGTGCCTGTTAGTTATTCGGATCTACCACCTGCAGCTGCAAGCACCTGGTGCTTGGCAAGCAAAGTCATGAACTCATTAAATATATTGGCAGAGGAGAAAGGCAAAAAAAAGCAGAGGAAGACAAAGAACAGCATACACAATCAAGAGATTTTTGCTTATAAATGCACACAGTTAGTCACCGGCTATCACATACTTCATAAAAGCCACACAAAAAATCTTTTTACGCATGTGCGTGCGAATAGCAGCATTAAAAAAAGTTGATTTTCCCAAAAGTGGTAAAATGGATGTAGCAGGTTATGAATCTCAGCCCCTCATATAAATTATTGAACAGATACGCCCCATACCAGGACAAGGAGGAGGGTAGCATTCTGAGGATACAAACAACAATGTCATCATCATCATCATCATAATTAGCTTCCAGATCTGCGACAGTGATAACGATCATGATTCTCCATATATATATATATATATATATCATTAAAGGAAGAACTACATGAACAATAAGCTAAAACCAAATAGCAGAAAGGAAAGAAAGCTACTTGCCATCCCCATCCATCATGTCAAACACATAGACATTTCCATTCCTCAAAACAGCAATGTGCTTGGACTTTTCATTTGTGTACAGTTCATCTTTCTCTGGCCTGCAAAAAAAAAGTTTCCTCTACATTAATATTTCTTTAATTTTAGTTTTAATAAGAGTTTTACGGCACTTGCAACACAATTAGGCATTATAAGCACAGAAGATTTGACGTGGTACAAGAGAGTAATATAAACAAAAATAAGGGGGAGACATAAGGACAATAGATGTTTGATAGGTAAGAAGGAGCAATCAACACCAAAACACCCGTCAACCACCCATTTTGAGGATTCACACCAAGGTGACCCACACCGTAATCACACGCATTTTACTGACGGAGCTTCCGGCGTGTGCATTGCATCAGTTTTAATAAATTCTAAAAAATTAATATACTATGAGAAGAATAGCTTATATTATAAATGTACAGGCAGGAAAAATAACAGTCAGAAAAATCAGACGATTTGAAATGTCTACAGTGCAGCAACAAAACTTGAGTCAAAGGTTGGATCAACTTTCATACTTAACACGAAAAAAGTAGACATCTGGCTCATGAAACTATTCATAAATACACTCATAAATGTTCTCTATATGTGAGCATACCTTGGAATACGAGTTGAGTTGAACAGTCTTTTGTACTGACTCATATCCAGTGGAAAAGCTTTGAACAGATACGCCCCATACCAGGACAAAGAGGATGGCAGCAATCTGAGGACACAGACAATAATGTCATCATAAATCATCATAATTTAGGTTCAGATCTGTGACAGAGATCGGCGATCATAATTCTCCTTTCATTCCTTTGCTCGGATGTTCTCAAAAAAAAGCTACATCATCTTGATAATCAAAACTGAATTTTTTAATAGTTTGATCAAACACCTTGCCACTACACAACCAGGTTCCCTCCCACAAATTGAAAACATTGGTAATGCATTATGAAGTATATCATCCACTGAGAATAAAAAGTAACATCCACAACTACTTGTGTTGTAGCTGAGTCTTTAATAAATTCAATAAGGGGAAAAAACTTAACGTAAATAACATAGTAATAAAAGTAGCTTAGAAGAAAACACCACACAGGCAATGTAGAACCTTGCCTCAAAATCACCCGTTGAGTGAGGTAAGGCTACACACGGGCTCTTGAGGTCAAGTTTGGGACCCCTGAGATTTCACTTGAAATTCATTCTTTGTTCTCTCAAGCATTATGACAAAACTATTGCCTTATTATGCTAAATATGCGAGGGAAATACACTGACCTTTAAAAATAATGACTAATATACTTTAAAAAGTCCTACATCTGTGATGACAATTTAATCATTTCCAAGGAGAACACACTTCCCAAAACTTTTCTACTTTTCTCCTATACATCGCGACACCCACCACTAGTAGCAGAGAAAGGAAATCAAAAATAGAATGAATCACAAAAAAAAAGAAGAAGAAATTACACTAGATCAGCAGAAATTGAATCAGGTATGGTCAAATCGTTGTCAAATTTTTAAAAATACATACATACTTGGCAAAACTGGACATGAGTCCACTTCACTTATCTCTTTCACTACCAGGGGGTTTTCCTCACCTAGACTGGGCCTTATCTGTGTCCTACTTTCAGATTTTGCCTACCCTCAGAAAAATTAAAGATTTTGAGTTCAATTTTCAATATCAGCCACACGTGTTTTATATGAGAAGAAAGAGGAAATAATTACTTATCTCAACATGTTGCTAAAAATGATCATTCTTCAGCCTGAGATTTCAGTTTCAATTATTACAAAAGGAGGACTGGTTTTGAAGCGGCCCAGTGTCGGGAGTAACAAGAGCCACGAAACACGGCTCACGATTGTGAAAGAGTTAAGATGATAATGGTATGAGCTCATACCTGGAAACAGTACGGAAAGTGCTCGTGTCAGATTTGGCAGGATTTAAGTGAAAGACTTCTGGTTCCAGCAGTTCATCTCTCAAGGTTTTCATGAAGCGAGTGGACGAGATCAACATGTTGGACGCTTTGATCAGCTGTAGGACCATTCAGGACAGAAAATAAAAACAGACATTTAAGCAACTATATGAACTCAAGGCATTTAATTAAATAAACATACGAACGGAAGCATTCATGTTCTAAGAATACAAGTACAAATAGACACGCACAAACACTCATATACCTGCAATCACATTAATTAACATTTAAAAAACTACTGTTATGGTCCTTATGTAGCATCAAGAGATTTTTTGCCTTTTCCTCAAAATCATGAAATGTGTGTGTGCCTAAAGAAAGGTACCAAAAGTCGGGTTTTGACCATTTTGAGTTGGCTTGTACCGAATAGGTAATTCAATGCTGAACACAGGGGTCTCTGAATTTTTTTAGATAGCTCAAGTAGTTTTTGAGATATATTATATCGCACATTTTGCGAGGTAGGGTATAAAAATATAATTTTGGTAAAATAAGCTTTTAAGTTAAACAAACATGAGAACTAATACAAACTTTAAAAAAAACGATGTTTTAAAGGTATTTATTCGTGGAAAATTCATTTCCAATTTGGCATTCAGTTGATATCAATATCATGAATGGAATTCAAAGTTAAAACATAGTAGTGAAGAGAAAACGTGCTTCAAGAATAGATTTTAACACCTTTTAAAAGCAGTATTCATTATTTGTTTTTATTACACCCTACTTCAAAATAAAATATTTAGAAGTCAAATCAATGAAAATCCTTTCAGCACATTGTAAAAAAAAAAGGGTGGATTTATCATTTTTATGGAAACACGTTTTGGTAAAAAAAAGTGATTTTTGTCATTATCAGCCTGTAGCTCGAAATGGTCTGAGGCAACTTTTGGTACCTTTTTCTAGGCACACACACAACTGTGCAATTATGTCGCTCTAGATGGTAGATTTGGAAGGTAAAAGAGAGGAAAAAAAAAATTAATAGTCATACAAAATTAAAGACAGGTGGTCTATACCCCCCCCCCCCTCCCCCTTTTAACTTCAAATAATGACAAAAACAAATTCTACTTGAACATTACCTGTGTATTGTACTCAGGTCTTGGATCATCGTTGAAAGAGATGAAAGGGTTGTGAGTGAGCACGACAGGTCTACGATCTTTGAGGTACATATCAAACCACAGACCTGGGGACACACAAGTTATCAGTTATTATTAAACTGTTTGAATAATTCTTTGAGCAACAGAGCAGCCCATACATCCCCTTTCCCTACTGTAACAGACATTTTCGGTCCAATATCGGTCTGATCAGTCATCTCCTCAAACACACCCTATTCTTCTTAATTTGTTAAGTCAAGGTAATCTTTGCCTGTTTGTTTGTTTTGTATGAGTTTGAGTAAAGAGAAGCACATCGACACAATAATGGTCATTTAGTGCTGAGAAAAAGTAAGACAGACAAACAGAAACAACAGAGGGAAAGTAAAGAAGTAGGACCTACCAGTGGCACTCTCCAACCACCCACATCTTCGTCTGCGAATGATGAACATTATCATCGGCAACATCTTGTACATATTTGACATTCTGGAAAAAATACATATACCACTGTGCTTCCAGCTAGACCCAAACTATGGGCTAATCAATATAACAGAAGCCTATCTTCACATCAACAAAGGAAAACTAAGAGTGAACCTCTCACCTGTTACATAATTTGTGTGCTTGTTTTTCTTGTCTGTTTCAACTAGTTCCTTCTGAAGTTCTGAAAAAAAAAGGAGAGCATAAATGTTTTCAGAACATATACAGCTGGTAGAGAGCAGTTCTAGAGTGACGAACAAAATATAACTGAATAACGTGGAAAAAAAACAACTGAATCCTTTAATAGCCAAACCACCAACGACAGGCTGAAGCGAAACCTCAAAACTGAACACATTCAAGCAGAAAACAGCAAGTACAAGAAAGTCAGCTCTGGGCTCTGCAGGCAAAATGTTTTTGTTTGTTTGTTTAGTATAGTGTTTTACAGCGCTCGCAACTGCATAAGGTCATATGAGCGCGCGGGACACACCTAATACTTTTTCGTTGGTAGGAAATTTTGAATTTTGCCCGGGTGGCGGCCGAAGCCTACTCTTATCGATTTTAGACCACCAAGGGATCTTTAACGTGCGCAACTTGCACACGGGCCCTCCGAGATTTTTCGCCCTTGTCCGAGAAGGCTAGGTGTAGATCTTTCTTACCAGAAGATCAGGGGTGTGGTAGAAAGACATCTGTAAGAAGGAGTCAAAGAGTAGCAGTAGAAAGGCTGCAGAAAGAGTCAGGAGCCCAGAGGAGGGGGCAAGGGAGGTGAGGGGGGTGGGGGCAGAAAGAGGAGACGAAAGCAGACTACAGAATATTGCTAGAGAGCAGGAAAGGAGGTGAAAGGAGACAATTTTAAAGAAGAACATTTTTCGGTCGCTACCCGGATTCGAACCCGGGACCTTTGAATGAGAGGCCAACACCTTAACCTCTAGGCCACGAGAGCCCCCGGCAAATGTCTACCCGCTGAGGTACAGTAATAGTTACAAACATAACACTCTAAATTCTAGACATGATCCAACAGCTACCAATGTCACAGGTACATCTTTCAGCTCCATTTTATTTTTTTAAACGACCCGCAATTTGTATAGTGATACCCAAATTGTACCTGTTTATATTCGTTCATATGAAAGCTTCAGATACATCCACCAAAACAATAATTTCCTTTTAAGAGGTAGTGACAAGAAATACACTTAATAGAAACAACAGGCAGATAGGATAGAAGCAGCAGCACCATGAAAGCACACCACCACAAACAAACAAAAAAAAAAAAACCTCCAAAAAAAACAAAAGAAAAACCCCCAATCCCCCCCCCCCCCCCAAAAAAAAGAGAAAATAGACCGAAAGTCAGGAGAAAGACACCAAGGACACTTTCTCAACAGCGTTATTTGATGGAAGGCAGCATACCTTGTCCTTGATTGTTCTGGAATTCAGAAGCAATTGTTTGGAGTTCCTGAAGCTCTGCTTCTGAGACCAATGGTTGCTGAGCTTTCAGATATCTTTCACAGGTTTTCTCCAGTGGAGGAATTGCAAGCCGAGGCAGACTGTTTTGAAAGTGATACGTGGGTACCCGGGATGCATGAAGATACTCTTTCTCTTGGGAGCTTTGAAATACAAGGAATAAAAATAGAACTTTAAAAAATGTTGATAAAGAATGCGTTAAAAAAAAAAAAACAAAAAACAAAAAAAACAGGAGTTAGAAATGTCGTACCCTAACATATAATTTAGATTATATATCACTTACAATTACAGATTCACAAAAGAAATTAAACTATATTATGGTACCCACATTACTGGAATCATTATGTTCTATCATCAAATCTAAGAACATTCTTATTTTCAAACTTCCCTTGAAATGTTCACATATGTATTCTGAACATATAAAAACTTTTGTTCCCCTCCCTAACTCAAGTATATAAGACATTCAATTCTAAGCACAACTTACCCACATAGTACTTTTGAAGAATGAAGAAGCCTTCCATGTGTCTGTAACAAAAAATATTTGGTGGAAATCATCAAAAAAAGAATTGTGGCAATTATTTAACCACCTTTAGCCTCAAAAAACCAAATATCATTCGGGTCCTTGCCTTCTTCTACAAGTAATAGTGATAAAAATTGAAAGCATATATTATATTTTATATACATTGGATTTGAAACAGAGGTGTAATCCCTTACATTTTGGGAAATGTATCCCCAGCAGACATCACACGCATTTCACATTTTCTTCTTTTCCCCTTCTTTCTTTAGCTCACAACCTTCAATTTGTTTTACAAGAAAAAAAAAGCCATCAAAACGGGTGCCCCTTTTTTCAGAAACCGTCCGAAACCTACCGACAGAAAGAATACAATCTTGAATACATACTCAAGCTTGCTGGAATCTGTGAGCAGTTATCGTGAGTGAATAAGTACAGACATTTTAACTTGAGTGAATTCACTCAATTTGAACTTGTATAAAAACGATACCCCAACAGAACATGTCTGTTTAGTAGTTTTGCAGTCCCTAACGCCGAACCTGGGAAAAGGATGAAAAAAGACTGTCGCCTATCCCTGTGGCTGGGATCTGCATCGTTGAAACCGAGGACACTCGCTGTATCCAATACGATGTATGTATTGAGTTAATACTTACTTTACTTTTACTTTTTCATCCTCTGTTGCCATTAAGCGTTGTTGCAGTTAATGGGTTAATGCTCTCAAGAAAAACCTCTTCTCTCATTATGATGTATATTTTTTTTCTTTAATCTGTGCCACCCACCCAATGTGAGGTATGTATCGAGTTTATGCTCTCAAGAAAAACCTCTCTTCCTCGACCCCCCTCCCCCATCACGTGTTTTTTTCTCTCATTTGTGGCACCCCCCCCCCCCCCAGGGCAGTGCCACTGACTGAAGAGTCTTTAGGTCATTCCCAAAGGGGGGATATTAACATGTTTTTACGCACAGTAAAATTGTCAATGGGCTGATTTATCAATGTCATGCTCCTACTGTGCCGGAACAACATAGGGGGAACTGCTGATTTTTCTTTCCTCATCCTTACTATCGTCATTTAGCCTCTACTTCTTTTGTATATCTGTCTCTTGTGAACTGCTATTTTCGGGGTGCCTTGATAGTCGAAACAAACTTTTTGCTGTTGAGGCTAGAGAGATGAGCGGAGTAAGCCTGATTACCCATGTGGACTTCTCCATTGATATCCACCCCTTGGCACTCATAAGACCTTATGCAGTTGCGAGCACCGTAAAACCTTACTAAAACTAAAAATCTGTGGACCCCCCTCTCTTGGTTATCTTTTCTCCGCCAAAAATCCCCTTCCCCCTCCTCAACCCGTCCCTCTCCCTCCCTATCTCCTACCGAGGAAAAAGTCTTTAAACAATCCCCAGACTCTCTCTCTCTCTCTCTCTCTCTGTCTGTCTCTCTCTCTCTCTGTCTGTCTCTCTTTCTCTCTGTCTCTCTCTCTATACAGTATTTTCAATTAATACCAGTGAGCCAATTCATTTGTTTAGCGACAAAACGTGAGAAATCCTCATGTCGCATGTCCATTTTTCCCCTTTTAGCATTCATCCGCTTATTAGAAAATAAAAAATTAAAAGTTTGTTACGTTATGTTACTTTACAGTCCTGTGAGAAGTGGTACCACAGAAGGTGTGTTGGTTTATGTGAGCCAATTTATGCCTGAGCGCCCTGGTCGGAAAGCACTGAAGAGGGATATCTGTGTCCCAGCTGTGTTGGGGATCCCTTTGTTACCAGGCAGGGATGCTTCGCATGCATGGGGTACACATTGAAGTTTATGTAATCTATATTAAAAGGAAAGATTCTGTGTGTGTCTGTGTTTGTGTTGAGGGTGGTGTTCACACCTTTGTACATGGCGATTTGAAACTTACCATGCAGATATACACACAGTAAACATGAGAAAATGGGTCCCATATAGTGGGTCCCAGACGGCAGGCAACATGGGCCCCATATGGGCTGCCCATATGGATACCATATATTATATGACAAATTAATTATATGGGCTCAGCCAATTTTTTTGGGTCAAATATGAGATTTATATTGGTGGGTTGGGGGGGGGGGTATATACAGGATGTTTCATGAACTTTCATCAGCTCAGATGTACATATGTGACAGAAACTACATGATCAAGGTTAATCAAACTAAACAGGCTTAATGAAAGTTAATGTTGGACATTATAAGATTTATTCCAACAGATTTGAATGAAAAATTCAAAGATAATGATTTCATAGTCGATTTCACAAATGTTTAATTGCCTGAAACACGGTAAAAATTCTCTCCTTTAGTACTTAATTACCCCCCCACCCCACACACCCACACACTTCTGTAATTTTGATTGCTGTGTTATCCTTGCCAAGATTGATTGACAGGGTGATAATGAACTTTAAAGTACCTGTTCCCAAGGTTCTGAGTGTGTGCCTTTGTACAATTAACACATTGCTTTTTGGCTTTCAGGCGGCGTACATTGGCTACATCAAGTTGTGTAAACTTGCAGCTCAATGGGCGAACAACTGGTAATCCTGGACCATATTTATGTGAGGATTAAACCAAAAGTAATGCAGAAACTAAAAGACGACCACAAAACCAAACAGTCAACACAAGTGTATGCAACTGGAGATGAGATGGACGGACCCAGAAACAAGAAACAGGTCTACAATGCGAAAGCGAGGTCGGGTAAAGGGGTTGATGATCCGAATGCAAATTTTGCAGACCAAGTTTCAGCAATGGAAGAACTTCAGCATTCCCTACCTTTTATAAGACAGACTATATTTATATCAGGCAGCTTGGGAAGGTCCCCTATATTAAACTGTACACTTGTGAACTAATTAAGGATCTGAAGAGGTTTAGCTGCCCACCAACCACTTGCACTTCAACAATCCTGAGAGTTGACAAGACCTATAATCTGGGTGACGTGCATGTAACTTGTAACAACAGCAGTCTACAAAAATCTTTCGCTACTCAGCAGAAGATCAAAGCCTATACCCGATATTTTTTGGCCCTATGTTCTTGCATGGTGACTGATACAGACTCTTTTTTCATTTTTTTTCCTCACCTTGCTACTTGCTTAGTTTCCTCTACTGAACCCACATTCGGAAGCGACGAGGAAGCTGCTTTAATGCGAGCAAAAGCTGCAATTGCACGTGCCTTCCCAGAAGCAAACCTTGTTTCTTGCACGAGGCATCTCAGGAACAATTTATTTGCCACATTAGCAGACAAGGTTGGACTACCACCATCCAAGCAGCACCAACACATTATAAATGATCTTTTAGAACCATATGGGATGATGGTCAATGCAATGCGAAAGACCCTGTTAAATAATTTCAAGACCATCTCCAATTTGGGTGTGAGAATGTAATATCTAGGTGGCAAAGCTTGTTGAACGCATCACACCATTGATGGTGGTGGCAAATGTCTGCGCTCTTGGGCGACCAGGACTTTGTCTTCAAGACTCGTTATGGACAAATAACAATGCTAAGTCCCTCAACCGTGTTTTGAAACACGCTGTTTCATGGAAATCCCAAAAGTTGGTACAGCTTGTCAACACACTTCATGGCGTGATTCAGGCACAATTTTGGGAAGCGAAGTGAGCCCTTTGCGGTTTGGAGAGTGTGTATGCCTTGGACACTCACTACCAGTCATAAAATTTGCTCTCTCAAAAGTCGTCTGGTTGGCGCATTCACATCACAAAGAGAAGAGGATCTTCAACAAGTTCATGCAAACCAGAAAAGAAAGAGGCATCCAAAGACCAACCAACCAAATAAAAACAGCATACCAACCAAAGCACAAAGGAAAAAAGCTAGCCAAAGGAAACGCAAAATCGTGACAAAACAACAAGCCCACCCAAGAAACCTAGAAATTAATTAAGCAAATTATCTATTTTTGTAACAAAT